GTAGTCAACGCGGACCCTGGAGGAGGGAGTGGGAATTGGGAGAGGCAGGAGACACAAGAAATGGAGACAAGACAGGAGTCTGATCAAGTCTCGTTTATTGGCAGTAGGGCAGAGGCTTAAGTAAGGCAGAAAGAGGAGGTAACAGTAAAGGGGCGGTGCTTTCTGAGGCTCTGGCTTTCCAGCCAGAGGATTTCCATATAAGGAAACCCTCAGGGGCTTTCAAGGGCTACATAGTTATAATGGGTAAATAGAAACTTACAAGCTCTTTCGCGGGCTTTTGCAAATGGGGCTTGGTTGGCCATTTTAGATAAGCAGGCAGATCCACATGGCTCGCGGCCATCTTGGATAAGCAGCTGCCGGGCCTCATGGCTCCGGACAAGAAAAGGAAATGTTATGAAGAAAATCATAAGGAATAGAAACTGTATTTTCTATTTATTAAGTAGAAGTGGGTCATTATAAAGGTCTTCGTCGTCATCATCTTCAAGTTGAGTGGGCTGAGGAAGAGGAGGAAGAGGAAGCGTTGGTCTCGCTGTCTCAGGGGTGGCAGAGGCAGAAGAAAATCCACATATGAAGTGGACTTGTGCAGTTCAAACCTGTGTCATTCAAGGGCCAACGGTATAAACAAATCATTAGAAGCCAGGGTGAGCCGGAACCGAACAGTGCCTGAGTCTGCGCAGCTCCTTGTAGAGTTGGATGCTGCCACCGACTGCTCTGGAAGCAGAGACTGGAGCGGGGAAGCTGCTTGAGTGAGCTGAGGGTGAGTCCTTGGAGAAGCTGACAATGAAACTGGTCCCACAGATGAGCTGTGGTTTGCCAGGTGTGAAAGCAGAAGTGATCCAGAAGGCCTGGGGACCAGCGAGTGCAGCGCCGGGGCCACGAGGCCAGTGCTCACGGCGCACTTGCGGGACGTACGGCGTGGCTGGTGGAGAGGCCCGATGTAGCCGCGTGCAACAGTGACTTCGGAAGCCTTCTGTTGTAGATGGGGCATCGTTATCCTCAGTTTATAGCGGCAGAAACCAGTAGATTTTTATTCTCATAAAAGTTGAAGGTCTTCTAAGACTCATCTCAAATCCAAAAGCAATTTTGTGCAGCTTAGAAAAAAACCCTGGTCATCGAGGAACTTCAGGAGACCAAGACTCAGTTTACGCTCCAGATCGAGAACAGCAAAAAGTCAGTTTAAGTGATTTTATTTGGGTTATATTTTATATTGATTTGAATCTTGTTGTTTTGCTGAGTTACTTTATTCCCAGTGTAACTCAAGATGCTGAACTAAAAACATGGAGAATGGGAAATCATTCAAAAAAGAGAATATAGCTTTTTACTAAAAATAGTTTTTTACTTGAGTAGGAACTCATTTGATGATCTCATGTTTTATTTAAAGCACCTAATACAAAGCTACCTACAGTGGGAGGTGACTCATCAAAACGAAGAATGGCGTTGAATACAGTATAATATAATCGCTACTGAGGTGTGTGCGTTACCTGCCTGACATCTCCTGAAGGAGACCTCGTCCTGCACAAGCTTGCTTTTATACACATCGCAGCGTGGCGAGGAGACCCGAGGGTGGTTGGGGATGTGCAGCTATGCTCCTTCCCACGTCAGCTGTCCACGTCCACCCTGGGTGACAGGACATGGGAGCAGATGAGACAGGCTGTCACTCACCCACACTGCCCTCTGGAGAAAGCCGTGGGGGGGGAAGGTGCCGCAAATGGGCTGAGAAGTTTACATGCACTGCCCACTGTTAAACAGATTACGTCTAATGAAGTGTCTAATGCTCAGGCCGTATCAGCCTAATCCTTGGTGGCAGTTCATCCCTCAACTGCCAAAAAACACCGCCCTCTGGCCCTCTCTCGCCACTCGGCGGCCAGGCGCAGGGAGGCGCCCGGTCTTAATGAACCCAGACGGCGTGTGATCTGACATGCAAATGTAGGTCATTGCATATGTAAATGTGCGATTACAAAGCCGCACGCCAAAGCACATTAGTGAGACCCTGCTCTCAGCATGCGGCTGTCACACCGCCTTAGCAGTCCACGTTAATGTTCGTCGAGTTATTGTGCAGACAGAAGATGGAATTCCCAGTCAAATTTAGAGTATCTGAACTGTGTGATAGCGTTCCTGACGACGAAGCTGCACTTTGCTCTCAGGATTGACAAGTCTCACCAAGGCAAAGCCTCGTCTCTGTGTGTGTGGAAGAAGGAGGAGTCGTACTTACTGCACGTTGCAGACTATCTAGTGTATCAGCATGAAAAAAATTCTTAAAAAAGGGTAGACAATTTAAAAAACAGTCTCCTTTTTATTTATTTATTTTTTATTTTTAAACTTTTAATATATATTTTTTTTTATTTAAGCATATTATGGGGGTACAGATGTTTAGGTCCAAGCTTCAAGGAAAAAGTCTCCTTTTTAAACAAAACCTTTATTTAAAGTTAAAAACTTTAGAAAATTGCTTGTATCCACTGAATATCTGAGAAGTGGTACTTTGTGAGTTTCTTTTGTTAAATATGTGTCATTTTTGTCACAGTGACACAATTAGAAATTTAATGACTGTGAAAAGTCCTCTTAAAAATGGACAGCATGGAAAGTTATCTCCTTTTACTTGATAATTTTATTTTGATTTTATTTTTCTTATTAGGATATACCTTTTCATTTTCATTTTTAACATGTTTCCATCCCCAGGTTTTTTGTTTTGTTTGTCAAAAGACTTGAAATTGAAAATATCTATAGATCATCTCGTAGGGTCCCATAATGTTAGGTTAATATGGTAGCTGGTTTTGCTTGATAACGTAACAGTGTAGCATAGGCTGTGCTTGGGACCAGCTAGACGTAGGCTTGGTTTGATAACATCTGCATTATAGGGTTGGTGTGAAAATGGAATGAGATGGCATACAAAATCCTAATATAAAGTGTCCGTTAAATTGTAGGCACCAAATGGAACCTTCTATTATTTTCGTAGTGGTGGTCGTTACTAACGTTATTTTAATCATAGCAATTATGGTCCTACATTTATGAAATACATTTGTGAAATTCTTGTATTCTGCTTATTTTGGATATTTTAAAGGAAGAATGGCATTTTTCTTGACAATATTTTGGACTTTCAGGAGAAGGAAACCAATGTATATTAACAAATTATTGCTCCTTTTTTTCTCTTTTCGAGAAACATTGGGTTTGAATTACAATAATTCCTTGGCAAAATTATACACTTTTCGTTAGCATGATAGATGTAGTGAAATTAAAAGACAAAATGTACAGGGTTTAACGTGCAGTACTAGCCATGTATCAAAACAGCTTTCTGCATAAGTTCAGGACATGGGATCATCAGCCTCAGCAAAGGTTTGTTTGAAGGCCTGAGAGTTCAGGTTAAATGTATCATATGCATGAACCGGTGCCATCTTCGAATGTATTACGTCTTTAAAATTCAGTCTCATTAGAGGGTGCACTAGTCATATGTACTCAAAGAGGGCTTAGAGAGTAGAGAGGGGACAGAGGGTGTAAGGAGAGTGGTAAAGGCTTGGGAGAGTGTACTCATCAATAATCCAGAACCTTGAAAGGGCCCAGGCATGTTTCCGCAAAAAAGAGAAAATATAAATTTTTTTTTTCCCCAGAAGAAACACAGATGCAGGAACCCTGTTTGAGAACATTTGCCCTTTAATTTGCATTTAAAATCAGTTTCTTTAAATACTTCAGTTACAAGTTCTGAATAGTGAAGACTTAGCAGCTGCTGCAGGCACTCAGTATTGGCTCCCACCCTCCCCTCCCCCCATCCCAGGCCTTGCTGCTTGGCTCGAGGTACAGAAGGGCACGCTACACTAACTGGCCCCAGTGTCAAGTGTCAGCAGCCCCGGGCCTGGATGTGGTTGGACACAAAGCCATGAACCTCAGTAGCTTTCATGACAAGATGTTTTAGCATACGATAGCTAAAATAGACTGTTTTGTCGTAGTTTACGTAGGTAGTGATGCTAAAATGAGTGCCACGAGGAGCGTAGAAGGCGGTGTTCCGTGGGTGTACGCTACAGCCCAGCAGTAGGCAGTGTTTGACTGCAGTAGACGCTCAGTTAATGTCCACTTCTGCGAGTGAAGGGATGGATAAGTCCATGAGCAAACAGGTGAACAAAAGAACCAGGACAACGGGTAGAATTTGTAAGTTGAGTTTTGTCTCAAAATAGGGACGACCTCTGTGCCCCCTGCCGCCAGTACCCTATAATGATTTCTCTTGCAGCGGTGAAGAGCCTCTTACGTGTGTTTGGGTGAGCTGTTTGAGAGCTGAAAACAGCAATATTTCTGACTGGTCTCCGTTTCCCTAGCAGCTAGCACAGTGTCCGGCACATAGTAAATACCAAAAAATGTTAGCAAATAAAGAAATGACTTTTTCCACAAACAAAAACAACAAAATCACTTAAAAAGGTAATAGTGTGATGGTAGACTCCCGGGCACTGTAAATATTCTTTGCAGAAGTTAAATACCTGTCAGGAAGTTAAGAAATGCATCATGTATTAGTTGACAGGTTGGGCTAAATGCATATGTATTATATTATATTTTATATTTATACACACACACAGAGTCCATTTCAACTCAAAGAGTGTTTAAAAAAGAAAAGAAAGGTCACAGAAATACTAGGTCAGATGGGACAAGCTCCTCTCCTGTGAACTAAAGACAGGTTTTAGGCAGTTCCTTTCTAAAACTTCAAAATCCTTCTCTTTCCCATGTTATGTCCGTCTTCCTTGATTTACTTTTTCTTTTTAGCCTTTCCTGTCTCACGTGTGTATTTCATGTTTACCTTGCTTGTTATTTTTCCCTCATTAGAATGCAGGTTTCTCAGGAAACCTGCGTTTCTCTGTGTGTGGGATGGGCCTGGCGTGAGTGGGTTTCAGTAAATGTTTGTTGAATGAACAGCTGTCGGAAAGCTTGCCGTAGGTGTCATCTACTCATATGAAAATGATCCTTGATCGTGTGTATTGTGTGTATATCGTGACTGAAAATTTTTCTGACGTTTTTAATTACAGAAGGCCTTACGACCGGATATGGGCTATAATACATTAGCCAACTTTCGAATAGAAAAGAAAATTGGTCGCGGACAATTTAGTGAAGTTTACAGAGCAGCCTGTCTCTTGGATGGAGTACCAGTAGCTTTAAAAAAAGTGCAGGTAAGTTGATTTTACTTGTATAAATCAGTGTTAAATGTACTTTGTGAATAACAGAGAGAGAAAAGTGTGTCCGGAATGATCGGGGAATGGTAGCCTTAAGTCGAGAAGGCTGGAAAAGAATGAACGTTGTATTTTAAAAGCTTGAATTGAGTGTAGTCTGGAGTGGAAATTCACTGTTGGTTTTAACATTACTTCCAGGGCTAGGCTTTAACAATTTAGCTGGTATGGACCCTAGAAGAGCTTTCACAGCTCTGTGTTTCAAGAGGCAGAGCTGAGTTATCACCATCGCTTCTAACCGGACGTTTAAGTAGATACCGAATCCTCTGCGGAAGTTCTGCAGCTGTAGGCACCGCAGTAAGAAAACAGATTCACCCGATGGATTGCCTCAAGTTAATAAATAGCAGCCAAACTCCACCGTCAGCAGATGAAAGGAAAATGAAGTGAACTTTATTTACTTGGAAATAAAAAAGAGAGGCAGATAAAATTAGAGGATTGGCATCTGAATTAAAATCTCCATGTTGTATTCGTGTCATTCTGGAATCAGCTCTGCTCTCCCATCCGAGCTCCTTTCTGTCTTTCTCAAATTCGTGTATCTCGCTCCAGCCCCTCTTGCCAAGTCCCGCCCTGACTCTGGTGTCCTGGTTCTACCGCGCTACCCACCCTGGAATGCTCACTTGCCAAAACCCTGAAAGTTTCTCTTGCCCTAATGAGCTCCTCTGGCCTAGAAAGTACTTGTTCCCCTGCATTGTAGCGTGTTTGACATCGTGTGACTTTCTTTCCCTTTCTCGGTGAAGGTAGTGAATGTTCAGGTCTGCCGCGGACTTCCCATTTTGCCCGACAATCCTGCTATCTTTTCTCTGCAGAGATCTGGGAAACCTAAATCTCCTTCTTTTTTTTTTGTTAAAGTGATCAGTATACTTGCAACAGTCTTTCTAGAGATGAACAGTTTTTTATTTACATTTAAAAAATGAAATATTAACTATTTATGAAAGATTTTATATGGTATGTGTGTTAGATATAAACGATAATAGAGCTACTTTCATATCCGCAATCCAGTTGAAGAAGTAAACATTAAAAATATTTTTGGCATGTGTCCGCCACTCACTTCCCTCTTACTATGTCCTGAATTTACTGTTTATCATTCCCTCATTTTTCCTTATAGTTTTTCCTACATCAGTATGAATTTCTAAAATAAAGTCTATTGCTTGTTTACTTCTGCAGTTTTTGGACTTGGTAGAAATGAAGCAGATTTTGTTTATGTTTTAATATTACACACACGCGCACACACACACACACACACGACTTTTTTCACACAGCATCATGTTTGAGTAATTAATCCATGTCGGTGCATGTGGCTGTAGCTTATCCTTTCCACTGCTAAGTAGTAGTATTCAGTTATTCTTGTTGCTTGCTGTTTAGGTTGTTTACAGTTGGTTGCTATTACAAACAATACTTCTGTGATATTTTGTGTGTGTCTTTCCTAGTACATAAATGCAAGAATTTCTCTGTCGTTTGTGCTTAAAAATGGGAATGATGAGCCACTGCGCATTAATGCAGAATTGTTTTCCACAGTTGCACCAGTTTACTTTTTCACCAGCAGCATGTGAGAACTGCAGTCTTCTCTTTTAATATGCCACTTGGAGCTTAAGAAAACACAAAGTAGAATATGGATGTTATGAAACAGATGACTTTTGGGATGATTAGTCCCTTACAAAAGAACTCTTTGATTCATTTTTTAAATGTATTAAATTTTTACCGTGATCTCTGAGCACCGAGGGAAATAAAAAAGAAACTGATGGTATTATTCCTGCCCTCCAGGGGAAAAAGAGTCTATCTAGAACAATTAAATGTTAAGCCTTGTGGCGTGGATTCCTGATGGAAATAGGAGTTCACAGAATGGAGATGTCAGCGTGAGCTGCTGGAATTGGTGGAATTGGAACCTCAGCCAGGCTGTAAATGTGAGACCAGTTGTGGACAGTGTTGGAACCAGACAGAGGAATTTGAACTGTAGGCAAGTGAGGATTCACTGTAGACTCTCAAGTAGGGTAATACTGTTCAAAATTCATTATTTTCAAAATAATATTATGAATTCAACATGCAGAATAGACTGGAGAGAAGACAGCCGCCCGTTTGCCCAGACAGTCAAGACGGGAGGGGGTGCAGATTGAGAGATCCCTCTGGGGGTCTCCGGAGCCTCTTGCTCCTCCTCCACCTTTGCACTGACTCTGAGTGTGGAAGAGACGGGGCTCCATTCTGTTTCCAGGGATTATTTCTTAAGTTGCAGAACCTTGTCATTGGAAATACTTAGAAAGAAAGAAAAGGGACGAAAGGAAGAAGGGAGGAATGGACAGAGGAAGGAAGTAGAAAAGCTCTTGCCTATGTTTTTCTTTCTGTTGGTTGGGAGTTTGAGTAGGTGTGCGTTAATTGCACCGTTGTGTTTCCACTCAGTGTTAACTGGACGCCCCCTCCAGTTGCCTCCGTTTTACACTGTGACGAACCCCGAATTGCTGTGGGAAGCTAGTTTATTCCTTTGGATTATGCCATTCCTCTCTGCTTTGTTAGGTGTTGATACTGTGGCATCTTCTAGTTTAAATGTAACTTCTTCATAGAATAAAGAAGTGATGTTGTGAAGATATTTTTAGCCTGTTTACTTAAGGAACGAGGTCCTAAGCCTTTGTGGGGAGACATGCGTTTGCACGTCAGTTGTATTCATTCTCCTGATGTGCATTTGTGCTGCACAAGAAAAAGTCACCTCTGCAGCTTAAAATAAAAGTGTTTAAAAATATTATTGACCAGATGATTTTCCTTTTTGAGGAATACTGACCCGACTCTTCAAAAATTCCTAAAGAATCAACTATTGAATTTCCTCTTGCAACTTGTTATTTTAAGGCTGTATTATTGCTGTCGCCAGCTCTGGTAGAATCCTTCTTAAATACCTTGGTCGAGTTCGTATGCTAAAGGGTTACTTTTTTTTTTTTTGAGACAGAGTCTCACTCTTTTGCCCGGGCTAGAGTGAGTGCTGTGGTGTCAGCCTAGCTCACAGCAATCTCAAACTCCTGGGCTCAAGCAATCCTTTTGCCTCAGCCTCCTGAGTAGCTGGGACTACAAGCATGCGCCACCATGCCCGGCTAATTTTTTCTATATATTTTTAGTTCTCTGATTAATTTCTTTCTATTTTTAGTAGAGGCGGGGTCTCGCTCTTGCTCAGGCTGGTCTCGGTTACTTTTATAATTCACTTCTCCGCTTGCAAATCTTCGATGAGATTCTGTAGAACTACCATCCAGATTCCTCAGCTTAGTTTTCAAGGCCCTCCCTAACGTGGCTCCACACCACCTAGCTCGCATACTCGGGGCCTTGAAAAAATCACGTGCTGAGCTCTGGTGACTGTCCCGCAGGTCTGCCTGTCACCAGCGCGTGGAGAGGAGAGTATGTGCGCTGAGTGCGTGCTCTTCCTTTGAAACCATAGAGGGGTCTGGGAGCCCACAGCGTACGGCAAGGCAACGTCAGCCAGTCTTTCTGAAAATTTACCTACGTCTCATCATGGTCCATTTGCAAAAAGTAAGATGGTGCCTCGACTGACGTGACAATTTTGAAATTCTGTGCACCGGCTTTGCTTCCCCCCTCCCTGTGTCCTCTGTCGATACTTCCCTTCCTGTTGATCATTGAATTGATTCCACCGGTATTTATCTATCACCTGGTGTTCATTGGTCAGTGTAAGGCATTGGGAAGACTAAGATAAACACGGTTGGACTCATGGGATTCCAACGGGGGTACAGCAGAGATGCTTCTAGCAATCAGAGGTGTTCACTGGTGGGCGCAGCCTCGAGGAGAACAGGTGTGAGGGGTTCGCCGGGAAGGTCTTCGCAGAGAACATGAGCTGGGTCTCACAGCTTCATCCATTCTTTATCGAAGGATTGTTTGGATCTGGTACATGCAATCTCTGTTTTATTATATTTGTTAGCTCATTGATTAGAGCTCTATACTTGAAATTGGTTTTTATTTTGTCAATCTAATGACAGGATATTATAGTAGTACGAATTTTGGGTCTCACTGTTTCTCAGTTCTTTGACTGTTATCCATATTTTTTAAAAGCAGGTGAGGTGTTTTGATCCCTAATTCATTAATGCTTAATTTTTCTTTGCTTACTCTTAAGTTATGTATTCAAATAACACATTTTGCTGTGTGACATCCATTGTCAGGGATATTTTTTTAGAATGAAAAGCTAAAAAACATACTTTATGTATATTTACAAACAAAGTGATAATATGTTTTCTTCAAAGTCAGCTTTTTGATCTAGGTGATCTCAAAAAATTTTCCGGAAAGGAAAAGTATTCTTTGATGTCTAATGCTTTCCTTTTATACTTGTGTTTGATGGTTGTGTTAAAGCATTTGCCAAGAAAATAACTTTTAGTAAGTGTAACTTACTTTTACATATGTTAATTTTAGATTCTAGGTTTGGGTGTGTGCATGTAATTAGAAATTTGGATTACATGTAATCAGAAATTTGTGGACAATGATAGCTTCTTCCATAAGACAGGGTGATTTTTATGTATTCATAGTCTCTATAGCCATATATTCAGTCTCTTTGTTAGTGTTTACTATGATTACTAAGTTTATCTTGCAGCTTTTATGAACTTCATCATTTAATCTCTATAGACTTCCTTTCAAGCTTTCAATTTTCATTTGAATAAATGAAAATTAAGAGGCATTTGTAAGAATAATCCATAAATGACATTTAAAAAGCTTGGAGAACAATTTAGTAAATTGATGTAAGTTTTACTTGTCAAAGTGGCATGATCTCTTATCTTAAAAATTAAACCTTCATAATTTTGTTTATTTGTACTTGCAGTCTTGTTGAATTATTTCTAAGCGTATAAGAAATATAGTAAATTTTTAGTTTTATTGAATGGTTAGCATTTTAGGGTTATAATGAATCACCATATACAGCATAAATAGATTACTAATGTTAAAATGTTTACGTGATAACATGTACATCAGTGAAATAATTTAGTTTCTTGCCCTTTGACATTCCAGAATTTCTTTTCTTTAGCATCTTGTGGTACCTTAGGGTTATTACTATGATAATGCAAGTTTTGGCCATATAGGTTTATCTTAAAAATTTTAAATTATAAACTCTTCTAGTGGCCAGGCCAGGTAAATAAATATAATTGAAGTGACTTTTTATTTATGCCATTGAAGTTTGTATTATGTTCTATTTAATGTCTACTGAGGACTTATTATATGACAGACACCGTACTGAACAGGAACACAGTAATTGAGTTCAGCATTTTTGTGAGGGAGACAGACAATAAATCATTAACTTCAGTTTTGTTCATTGGAACTTAAGATCTGAGTACCAAGAGATCTAGCTGTTCTCTTTTTCCCTTTTTAAATACTGACTGCCTTTGGAGGGAAAAATGTAAGCTTTGGTGGTAACTTGAGATAAAATACCTGCAGATCCCCACAGAAACTGAGAGCTAATCAGAAAGAAAATTTCCTAGTCTATATATAATTATATGTAGAGTATTATGAATTTACATGGTGGCTTGAACCGCAGATTATTATTTTATTAAATAATTCTGGATTCTTTTTTTTAGATATTTGATTTAATGGATGCCAAAGCACGTGCTGATTGCATCAAAGAGATAGATCTCCTTAAGGTAAATGTTGAACTATTGACTATTTTGAACATAACTGAATGTGTTGATAAAAGTGATTTATTAAAATACTGTACTTATAAGCAAAATGGTTTTTAAGATTTATCCACACCAATTTCAGGTAACATTAAAATAAGTTTGAATCTCAGTACATTGAAGAATGTAGTTACCTTTTAGATTTACTGTAAAATAATTCAATCGGAACATTTGGTAGGATCAGCTTTTGTTTCCTCCTAATTTCAAACCAGGAAGTAGATAAAATCGGCATGAAACATTGAAGAAATTTTTTTCTTGACCATCTCAACAGGACACATTCTAAAACTTAATGTAAATGCACATAAGTATTATCTCAAGATGTGTTATATTGAGAATGTAGACTAGTCCAAATGGTTCACGTGCTTTTTGTAATATTCTTGAATCTTTTATCCAAATTTAGAAAAGGTGGATGTAAAGAGTATGTCAGGATTTAGCTTTTCAATTTCTCACCCACTAAGAGTATGACAGAGATTTCAGCTATCTCTGCACTATTTCTTTGCTAGTTCTAAGTTTCTTTTGAAAAATGCTATGGCTTATGTTACATTTTAAACTTTTAGGTAAGACAGGTATTTTTTATGCCAAAAATGAATCGAATTTATCCAAAAAGATAAGAGTAAGGTCTAAACAAACTGTGCTTTCTGACTGTTCTGTTAGTTGTAGTTATTTCTTGGCACATGAAGTAACTGGTTTAAATATAAACTTTTACTATAGAAATAACATGTCATCATAGACAATATGAGGCTAAAACTGTAAGTAGAAAGAAAAAAATCACCTATACTTCTTGAATATTTCTCTGAGAAACGATTTGTCTTGTATTAACATATTTAAAGATTCAACAAAAAGATAGTAAAGGTATATAAACTGAGGCATATATTCCTACAAGGTAAAATTTTTCTTAAGGATGATTTTATGAGTCAACTCACATAAATAAGTTCTGTATATTTATGTTATTTGATGTAAAGCAATAGTTAGATATAGTATATTAGATACCAGTTGTTTTTTTTCCTACTAGCTGGAGTTATACTAGGACCAACCCTAACTTCAAAGTAGGAGTAAAAGGGATTCTTTATTTACCCCTGAATACTCTTAAATGACAGTTCTCATTTTAAAAGATATAATATTTAGCACATGGTGATTTAATCCTGTCATTTACCTATTGCATCTTTTATGCTTATTGGGCATAGAACTATTTTTAAAAGTTTTATGTACAAAATTTATTATTTCTAATAAAGAATATTAAAATTGATTTGTACCTAGTTTTACTTTCAATAATCATATTTGTTTCAAAATTCACTAGATTAGAGAAAAATGTACTGTCATGTTAAGATTTATGTAATTTAAAAATGAAATACAGTAAGTTCATTTTTAAGTTACAAAACTGTACGTAACTTTGGGGAATTTACAATAAGAAAACTTCTTGGTGCGTGTTTTATTTTCTCAGCAACTCAACCATCCAAATGTAATTAAATATTATGCATCATTCATTGAAGATAATGAACTAAACATAGTTTTGGAATTAGCAGATGCTGGTGATCTATCCAGAATGATAAAGGTAAGGTTTTTTTTTTTTTTAAATGGTCTTAAAGTTTTATTTTTTTCTAATAGAGTTGTCTGTTAAACATACAGGCATGTTAGGTACTTTAAAGAGACCTCAAACAAATCAGCAAGAAAAAACCAAACAACCACTCCATTAAACAGTGGGCAAAAGACATGAACAGAAGCTTTTCAAAAGAAGATAGACTAATGGCCAATAAACATATGAAAAAATGCTCAATATCACTAATCATCAGAGAAATGCAAATCAAAACCACAGCAAGATATCACCTAACCCCAGTGAGAATGGCCTTTATCAAAAAGTCCCAAAACAAAAGATGTTGGCGTGGATGTGGAGAAAGCAACACTTACACACTGTTGGTGGGACTGCAAACTAGTGCAGCCTCTATGGAAAATAGTATGGAGATTCCTCAAAGAACTAAAAGTAGACCTACCGTTTGATCCAGGAATCCCATTACTGGATATTTATCCAAAGGAAAAAAAAAAAGTCATTTTGTCAAAAAGACACTTGGACTTGAATGTTTATTGCAGCACAATTCACAGTCGCAAAGATGTGGAATCAACCCAAGTGCCCATCAATACATGGGTAGATTAATAAAATGTGGTATATGTATACCATGGAATATACTCAGCCATAAAAAAAATGAATTAATACCTTTTGCAACAATCTGGATGGAACTGGAGACCATCCTTCTAAGTGAAGTATGGCAAGAATGGAAAAACAAACACCACACGTACTCACTGTTAAATTGGAACTAACTGATCAGCACTCCTGTGCACAGATGGAAGTAAAACTCAATGGGAATCATACAAGTTGGGGAGGGGGGAGAAGAGGATAGGTGAAATCATACCTGACAGGTACAACGTACACTGTCTGGGTGATGGGCACACTTTATAACTTTGACTCAAGCAGTACAAAAGCAATCCATGTAACCAAAACATTTGTACCCTGTAATATTCTGAAATAAATAAAAAAAAAAAGACCTCACTGCAATGTGGACTACGATGTATAATAGATAGTAGCTATAATATGTAATAATATGATAGGCATGTAATAAATGGTGGGTGATAGTGATCAATAATGATTCCGAAGTTTCATTACCTGGTGACATTCACACTGATCAACTTAAATATGTGAACACTCCAAAGTCAACTTGGAAGTAGGCCAAGAGACTCATCTTCTGTAAGCCAAAGTTACAATTTTGCTGCTTGATTTCTCTGAGCGGACCCATCGAATGTCTCTGGACATCACAGCAAGGAGGCGGGAAGGAGATTCTGGAGCAGCGTGACCTGTTTCTGGGAGGGATCCATCACAGAAGAAAGTGGGCTTTGCAGTCGGACCTTGGATATCAATCCCTGACTCGACCACTTAAAAGCTGTTTAACCTTTTTCCTAAGGGCATATTAATTGGGTTTAAGGTTAGCTGCACTTAATAGAAACCCCAGAATAACAGACAGTAGCTTAAAAACTGCTTGTCCTTGGGCAAGTTACTTAACCTCTCTGTGCCACATTTTCTCAAAAACATAATAATAATAGAGCGCACTTCATGGGGTTGTTGCTGTGATTAAATTAATTCATGTTTATTAAGAGCTTAGAACAGCGCCTCATACATTGTAAAGCTGTGTCAATGTAGCTGCTGCTATTACTGTTACCGTTATTACTTGTTTGCCACGTAAAAGTCGGGAGCTAATATGGTAGCTCTGATGTGTCAGCTCTGATCTCAGGAACCCAAGCTGTTTGCAGCTCACCAAGTCATAGTAGGCTCGAAGCGACAAACGGTCCTTGCCGGCTGTCTCTTAAAGCATATTCCTGCATGCTGCCTGCCACGCGTTTTAGCTGCATCCCTTTGGCTGGAATGTGGTCTCAGGAACATCTAGCTGCAAGGAACACTGGAAAATACAGTCTCCATGCAGCTGGCCACGTGCACAGCTAAACTTCTGTTACTATGGAAGATGAGTTGAATGGTATGGAAACAAACAAGATGAGAAAAAAAGACTATTCTGGGCTTGCTATAACAAGGAATTTAGCCACCGCCACTTGTGTTTGGACAGAGAATTAAAGTCCGGCAGAGGAGTGAGTGCTTTGTAGAGAAAAAGGGAGGCCTTCAGGTGTGCCCAGGTAGGCAGGCTAAGTGGAAGCAGGGCATCCTTGTGATTGGTTAGGAGTACATACTTGGCTTTTTCTGGTTGGTCCTAGTTGAAAGCAGGGACAAAATTAGGAAAGCCGTCCGTGATTAGTCAAGTCTTGGCCATTTTGGCCGATTGTTGCAGAAGTTACTTTTTAGCTTCCCGGATTGTCACTAGAGATAGCGATGACCTGTTGGCTCAGTGCTGACCCAAGACTGACATACAGCAGTCTGCACGTCTGACTTGCGCAGGCTGGTGTATTGTGGATGAAGGGTTGATTTCCTGGGAGGGTTACTGCAGGTTGTTGATCAAAGTTCTATTTTTGTGTGTGTGGTCTGGGCAGTGTCAGTTTGTACATTCAGTCTCTCAGCAGGTACTGGAGTGTAACTAGTAATCTCTGCTGCATGGATTTATTGTAAGGAGTTTGTAAAGACAGTGTTAGGTACTTTCTATACATTATCTTATTTAGTCTTCGCAAGGATTCTGAGAGGTAAATTTGGCACCTTGAGAAGATAAGTACCATTATTAGTAAATAGCAGAACTGGTAATTTTGAACTTTAGGTTTGTTGGATGCAAAAATCCGTGTTTCCTTTAGTGGGCCTTAAAGATTTTTGTATCACAGAACTCCTTTGAAAATCAGATGAAAGTCCTTGACCCTCTCCCCAGAGAAAAGCTGATAGACACACAATTTGCATTTCATTACAAAGCAGTCATGGATTCTCCGGCAGTAGTTAAGAACCCTGTTCTTGAGTGTGGGTTCTGTATCAGCCACTTAAACTCCTACGTCACTTAAATTCTTAGTCCTAGTTTCCTCATCTGTAAGATGAAGACAATTCGTAAGACTGCTTTCTGAATTATAAAAACAGTACATAAAAGGAAGGTAATATTATTGCAGAATCCCATCAAGCTGACCCTGTTTAAACTCCCATAGTTAGAGTGGATCACTTCTAATTCGTTACCTGATTTTCTGTTTTAGGGACTTCCCACCAGTAGTCCAAACAGCCAACCACCAGTAAAATAAGTCTTTGCAAATTAAAGAACAATAAGGGGGATGGGTATATTCACACCTGACGGGTGTGGTGTGCACCGTCTGGGGGATGGGCGTGCTTGAAGCTCTGACTAAGGTGGGGCAAAGGCAACATATGTAACCTAAACATTTGTACCCCTGTAATATGCTGAAATAAAAAAAAAAACAAAGAACAATAAGAAATTATAGTCATAATGTTCAAAAGAAATGCAAATACAGTACCCAAATGCAAAATTTTATAAAACAGCTTTCTACCAGAGAGACATGTAGAAGTAAATGTAGTCCCTATAAGAGAGTACAAATAACGTAAAATGCTTTGCCTGAACCTTTAGCTAAGAGAGTTATTTAATTACTTATAGTGGGAAGGAAAAGAGGGCCAATTCTTACCTATCAGTAAAATAGATTCAGAACAACAGAATTCTGTCTGGTAATGAGTAGTAACTTACTCTTATAGAATTACACCTTTGTAATTCCAAATATAGAGAGAATTACATATATATTCTATATATATAGATATATATGTATAAATATATATATATTTATAACTACATCCTGGGAATACCCTTGAGGTTTCTGACTGAAATTTGAAGGTGTCTGTCACATAAAGGATTACTTAGGGGGAAAACAGTTTTTTAAATAAAGGGTATCAGCTCAGTTCTAATAAGTTATGAGCTTATATAACAACTTCAGGTACTTAGTGGTACGAAGTGGTTCTTCCTTAGAGAATTGGTAGTATTATTCTTCCTTCCCTGCTAGTAGGTTTAATAAAGTATAACCTTTTGATGATCCTATCCTTTTTTATAGGTACTATCAGTTTTTGCCTAGTCAGGGTATAAGACATTCTGGGTCGGGCTTCCTAGGTTCTTTTGGAGCTCTCTTAAAGGTTGAAAGTCATTTTGTCAAACCTATGGACCTTATAACAATCTTGGCATAGTAGCCATAAGGGAAAGTTTGACCAAACAGTTGTATATGAATAAAATATCTTCATATCCTGGTTATGTTTGTGTATGTCTTTTGCAGTGTGATATTTTAGATCTGACCAAATACCTAAATTGTGTTCAAAGAAAATCATTTAATAACTTGGAAAGATCTGATCTATGCAATCTGTCTGGATTCTTTCTCTAATAGAATTAATGTTATTATGGATTGATGTATTTTAATAGAGCACCTAGTTACAGCTTTTCTCTCCATTTGATTTAAACTTAGTGTTTATGTAATTTTTTAAATATAAAATGAAAGGCCCTCTTTTCTGGCATTAATTTTCTCAAGTAGTGAAGGTCCTCCCCTTTCCTCCCTCATTCCCATGTCCCAGAGATAACCACCAAGTTGATGTCTGTTCTTCAGTTCTTCACTTAGATACCACTTCCTCAAGCATTTTCCTGTGACTCACAGACGGTTTTTTGGTATAAGTGCTCTCGGAGTACGCTTCCTTCATAGCACTTGGTAATACAATCGTGTAGTCATTTGTGTGATTATTTTATAAGACGTTTGCATTTCCCATTCTACTGAAAGCTCTGTTGAGGACGGGGCGTGTCGGCTTTGCTCGCCAGGCTGTATTCCTTTTCTAGGGAGGCACCTGGCTGGTGGCAGGAACTCAGTAGGTATGTGGTGAACAGGTGCATAGAAGTTGGTTCTCTTACCGCTGTTACCCTTCCCTGTTCCCAGGCCAGTAGGTGACTTGGGTGGTTGCGTTAACAGTCATAGCCGTTTCCTGCTGCTTGACGCTCTGGTCTCACGGAGAATTGCAAGTGCTGCTGAGACATCGAGTGGTTTGCTGGCAGGAGAGAAGGTTATTTTGGCAGAGAGGGGGCTAAGAAATTCTAAAACTGTTTTCTAAACACCCTT